AGTATTTTGTAAATATATAAAACACAAAGACAGCTATACCACCACCAGTCTTGTCAAATAGTAATATTTTGCCTTATTTTATTTTTTAATATTTTGCCTTATTTTAAAAGAAATAAAATACTACAGATACAATTGAAGTATCCTGTATTCCCTTTCCATTTTATTCTTCCTTCTCTTTTTGAGTTAAGTACTATCCCGAATTTAGTATTTATCTGTCATGAAAGCATTTAATATGATTTCTATATATACATGTAGCTATCACAATATATAGCATTTCTTGGAATTTGTGTATATGCATGACAACGAAGGTGTGATCATAAAATACGGTGAATGTGTAAACAAAAAAATTTATTACAATAAAAGACGTATTGCCATTAATCACCCTCAAAATACTCCCCCTCTCTTCAAACACACTTATCCTATCCTTCTTGCCACTTCCTGAAGCAGTTCTGGAAGTCTTCTTTTGTATCTTTAGTTGTGTTGTGGCTGCCTCGATGTCCCGAATCAGGTGGATGACACACTGTAACGTTTTTGACAGAAATTGCCATACCAGAAGCGATGTGTGACACACAGCATTGCCATGATGGGGGATGAGAGACCATTTTCCCGTTTCATGTTAATGCATTGTTCGTGATCCATGATTTACGGCACACTTGAAAACACACCTCGCAACTGTACTTCACACTTGACTGTTTGCACTGAACAAGTTGAAACTTGTCACACACTGTTAGTAAGGTTTGATGTACTGCCTTTCTGTTGGATGGCACTTGGCAGCAGGATTCTGCTTTGATCATAACGGAAGGGCTCTGTGTCACACATTGCTTCTGGTGTGGCAATTTCTGTAAAAAACATTACGGTGTATCCTTAACCACCTTATTCACCAGATCTGGCACTGTGTGACATCTGGCTCTCCCCCAAAGTCAAAACGACTATGAAAGGTAAATGTTTTGAATAGATTCAGGACGTCAAGGCAGCCATGACAGCACAACTAAAGACATTCACGAAAGAGGACTTCCAGAACTGCTTCAGAAAATGGGAGGAACAATGAGATAAGTGTGTTCAAAGTGAGGGGGAGTATTTTAAGGGGGATTACTGGCAATGTATCCTTCACTATAATATATATATATATATTTAAAGATTTTTATTGGGGAATTGGGGGATGGGAACAGCACTGGGGAATTGGGGTAAGGGGAACAGACAAATTGCTGTCCTTTTGTTCTTCAGTCTAGTTGTGGAGGACGTTGCTTCACTGGCCCAAGTTGGCACCATCATTGCGCTCTTCCTGGGCAAGGGAGATCAGTCGCCGGCTTCTGGATGGCCACTCACGGCGGCTGCTGGCCGCTCATGCTGGCTGCTGGCTACACACGGTAGCCCATGGCAACCCACTGCAGCAGGGGCTGCAGCCTATGCCATTGCCGGCAACTCATGGCAGCCAAGCTCCAGGTCGAGCTGTTGTTCAGCATCTTAGCTATAGAGGGTAGTATCACTGGCCCTCATATGTAGGATCCAAACTGGGGCCCGCTGGCATTCCAAGCCAGCTCTTAACCAATGCCCCACTCAGTTGCCCCGGTAATATATTTTTTTACTTAAACATTCACTGTATTGTTTGATCACACCTCGTATATCATATATACTATATAGCATATCAGATACACTTTATGCTATATACATACTCTAATGTATACTTGTATACTATATGATATGCTAGTTACTTTTTATATATTTTTAGATTTATTAATGTTGATAAATATGCAATTTTGTTCAGTGTTTTTTTCAGACTGTGTGTTGCAAACCATTAAGTAGCTCACAGTATCAATTTAGTAGGTCATGAACTATTTAGAAAAAAGGAAAGTAACAGAAAATAGAATGCATCACATGTACTCAATAATAGTTTTGAGTTCTCAATACATATACATGTATTGAGCCATGGTGTAAACTATATTTCTAACTATAGGTAAAACATTTGAGAGTCAGAGCTCTCTTTCATTTAAACTAATATATAATATTTCATTATATGAATACGAGGTCTAACAATTATGTTTGCAAACTTGATGCAATGATGTTGCTAACCTGTTTTTGATATCAGAGGGTATATTCATTATGAATTTGTACCAACTAAACAAACAGTTAACCAAGTTAGACGACCTGAACTTTTCGCCAACAATTCAGGCTCTTGCATTACGACAATTCATGGCAACTGTCTGTGAGGGAGTTTTTAGCCAGAAAACAAATAACTGTATTGGAACACCCACCCTACTCACCTGATCTGACCCCCAAAGACTTCTTTCTTTACCCAAAGATAAAGGAAATATTGAAAGGAAGACGTTTTGATGACATTCAGGACATCAAGGGTAATACGATGACAGCTCTGATGGCCATTCCAGAAAATGGGTTCCAAAATTGCTTTGAAAGGTGGACTAGGCACTGGCATCGGTGCATAGTTTCCCAAGGGGAGTATTTCAAAGGTGACCATAGTGATATTCAGCAATGAGGTATGTAGCACTTTTTCTAGGATGAGTTTGTGAACTTAATTGTCTGACCTCGTATACCACAGTTTAACCATTTTTTTCCTGTTGATGTTTCAATTGTTTCCACTGTTTTACTACTACAAACAATACTGTAAAATACTGTTAAAAATGCCTCCTTGTGTACATATATGAGTTTCTCTATATTTACAAGTGGAATTGCTGGAGTACATGCATGTTCAACTCTGCGGGATATTGCTGAATTCTTCTGCACTGGTTTCACTAGCAGTGTATTAGTTCCAATCATTCCGTATCATTGACATCAGACATTAAAACCGTTGTCAGTCTGATGGGCATGAAATAGGTCATTGTTATTTTAAATTTCATTCCCCTAAATATTAGAGAAGTTGAGCACGATTTCTTGTGATTATTAGACATCTGAGTTTTTTCTTTTATGAACTGCCTATTTTTTTCTATTGGATTGTCTTTAACTCATTAATTTGTAGTTTGTTATAAAATCCGGGTTCTAATCCTTTCTAATACATTGCAAACATCTTCACCCAGCTTGTGGCTTGTGTTTTATTTTAACATGTTCTTTCATAAACAGACTTCTTTAATTTTAATGTATAAAACTTATTAAGCTTTTACTTTATAGTTTGTCCTATTCATGTTTTTGTCTTATTTTAAAAGTTTGTTCCCTCTGAGGGATCAATTAATATTTTTTTTCCATAAAATTTTTTTCGTTTCACATTTAGTTTATAATACATCTGGAATTTATTTTTGTGTTTGTTGTGATCAGAGGTAAGTTTACCATGAAACTAATGAAGCTTAAGCTTCAGGGACTACATATTACTTGCACAAGCCCTTTCTAAGGCTCTGGGAGAAGCCCGAGTTTAATATGGGTTGTATGTTTTTATAAAATTTGCAAAAGTATAATATTTTCTTATCTTATCCTTAAATAGGGGTCCTCAAATTTTAAGTTTCAGGCCCCATAATACTTGGACTTCACTCCTAGGTATGAAGTGGGAATCTAATCTTAATTTTCATCCATCTGGGTAGTAATTGTCCCAGTACCGATTATTGATACGTATATATGCAAACCTTTTCCCTTTTATTTGTAATGTTACTTCTGGCATATATCAAAATTCCATAAATGAGGTTTATTTCTGGGGTCCTTATTCAGCCCCATTGGTATACTTGCCTATCCCTATATATTTTGATCTAGTAAAGGTTTGCAGGAATTTGTTCCCAGATAGGGTCTTAAACTAGGTCATTTCACTTGTGGTAGCATCCATTTATTTTAGTGAGAATTACAGGGACTTTCCTGATTTTCTTTGAAAGACAGGTCAGTGGAAAAAGTATTGTTTTGCATTTGGGTAGAAGTTGAATCATGTCCTCACACAGTGCTAAATGAGTTTTTCATATCCTATCGCACTTGGTATATATTTTACTTAATCATATAATAGTCTTTTATTTTAAAAATTTTATTATTTATTGAAGTGCATTGGTTAGTAAAATTATATAGGTTTCAAGAGTACATTTCTATAGTACATCATTTATCATTGCACTGTGTATTCCCAACTGAGTCAGTTCTCCTTCCATCACCATATTATTTGACTCCCTTTTCCCTCATCTACCACCCTCCCCCAGCCCCCCTTTATCCTCTGGTAACAACTAAACTGTTGTCTGTGTCTATGAGTTTTTGTCTTGCTCATTTGTTGCTTTCAGTTTTATATCCCACATGAGTGAAGTCAAATGTTTCTCAACTTTTTCTGACTTATTTCGCTTAGCATGATAAATTTCAAGATCTATCCATGTTGTCATAAATGGCAGTTCACCTTTTCTTATGGCTGAGTAATATTCCATTGTATTTATATTTTAATTAGTCATTTATATCTGTGATTCCAATGAAACTGAGCTCCTTCCATGTAGACATGCCTCAGTGCCTAGTATGGTATATTCCACATAGTGGACATTCAAAAATGTCTTTGAGTTAATGCATGAATTCAGAATACCAAACTAATATGTTTAAATAACTTGAAGCAACCATGATTATTATTGATTTCCTACCAATTGGACTTCTTATGGACTATACTGTGTCCAGCTTTCATAGTGAGATAATGCCTATATGACTTGGACAGATACTTGTTTACAGTTTACAAAGCTACATTATAAATCTTTATGTGCTGTTAACTCTTTAGGAAGCTAGTCAGAAGTATTTTGTGCAGCTACTTAGTGTGTATTACTCTAAACCCAGAAAACTTTCTTTGCTATTCTATTATTATAATAATTAATGGTTTTTTATTTTCTGTTTCCTTTCTCATGGAGACTTGAAGTCATAAGAGATGGGTTGACAGGCTTTGACCATAGGTAGTTCACCTTTCCATGTCTGAATTTCCTCATCTTGTCATACTTTTGTTATAAAAGGAACAAGGTATAACATGCAATGACTATTCAATGAGTAACTGTGATTGTCTAGGTAAGTATATTTTAAAATTTAATTAAATAATAATTTCATGAGGGAATCATTACAATTGTAATGTTCCTGAAGATACAAAGTTGAACAGATTAAGTTTAACTCATGTCTATTATCTATTTGCCTCTGTGCTACTTAAAATAACATTTCCTATAATAGCAAAACCCTCAAATCTCAGTGATGTAAACAGTAGTTTATTTCTCAATCATGCAAAATTCTAATGGATATTACCAATTAGTAGTTTGTGTTCCCCTAGGCAATGATTCACAGAGTGAGTCTCCTATTTTTTTTGTCCTTGGCATCTTCTTGCTGGACCTTGGAGTCCCCTGTTGCATCCTATTTATCTGTATCGTTTGGTGATGGGGGAAAGAGTAAAACTGTTATGTGGAAGGCTTTTATGAGCCAGGCCTGTACCTACATTGCTTCTACCCACATTCAGGTGGTCAGAACCCAGATCCTTTACAAAACCTGACTGTAAGAGAGCCCTAAAACAATCTAACCATGTGCACAGGAGGAAAAGGAAAACAGATTTATTGAATAATTGTTAAATCAATCACTGCCATATAACTTATTAAGAATCATATAATATGCAAGGTACAAGGGACACAAGTTCCTGTATTTAAAGATCTCATACATACAGTACACATAATAGAAAAATAAATAATAAAGGTGTCTTTTTCTACCTTTTTCAACCGTTTAAACATTACTCAAATATTTAAGAACTTCACCTGAGACTTTTGGTTTCTGGCCCAGTACGTAAATAGCTTAGAAGTCATCACTGCATCTAACAAGTAAAAAGCTGAAGAAAATGAAATACCACCAACTCTTAGATGCGTCAGAAGTGAGGTCACAGGGAAACCACTGTTCCCAAAATTGGAGAGATAGGTGAATACAGAGAATTTTACAACTTAACACAGCAGAAACTTATGAGCAGAAATCTAGGGAACCAGTGTCAGGGTAGGAAAACCTAAATTGTAAATGACAAATAGCTGAAGGCTCAGTGTGGACAAGTCTGACAGTTAAAAACTCCAGGGGGGACCCATTCGTAGGGAAATCCACACGTTTTTGTCAGTTTTACCTCCAGGAGCTCTATCAGGTCCTCACAGTGAACAGAGAACAATTCCCTTGTGTTTCTGGCAAAGGGAGAGGAAAAGGAGCCATTTTGAAATACACCAGAGCATTTTGGTTCTCTGAACAAGGCCAGCACTCAGGAGAAACTATTTTACCAGAGCCTAACCTACCAGAGGGAAAGAAAATACACTCCAGCTCCCTCTAGCCTTCAATGTTCCGGCTAATTTATCCTAAAACACCGTTCTTTTTTAATTAAATTGCCACATAAATAAGACTAGGCCCTTTTTCCTTCTCTAGAAAAACAAGATTTGCTGCTCCTGTTCTAGACCACCTAGGGCTTTCATACAACTAGTGGACTATTTTCTTTATAGTAAAACTTCTGAGTCATGACTTCAACCAGTTTGCTTTTCAGGTGAAGCAGATAACTAAGAAATTACTTAGATAATTTACTTATTAATTTAGTTGGTTTTAATAAGATCGAAATTACTTGGGTTATTCATCAAGGCTTATGAGGGGACAGTTACTCTAAATCAGCAATTAGCTGCTTCTCTTTATTTCTTTAAACTTAGTTCATTAACAAAAGCTAGACACTTTGGCATCCTCACTTAGGCCTGTTTGCTTTTGCAGTTTCTAAAACTCTTTCAAGAAATCATAACTTGAATTGCAGTAAAGAGCTTCAGGAATTTACTTATTAAATATTTTGAATTAAATGCAATGAAAACATGGGTGGGTATTTTAATAACTTTATAAGTTGTCTATTCAAAATGCAGTGGTAGGTGTTTTGTTCAGAGGTTACCAAACATAAAAGACACTGCTCAAAAATTAGGCAGCATGCCCTATTAAGCTATTCTTTTAAGTTTAGTGTATATTTTTCTAAGTTAGGTGTCTGAGTTTCTTGACTCTGTTACCTTGCAAAAGTACTAGAAGGGTAATTTTATACATTCATTTCAGCCTAATAAAACCAAGTGACTCTTAAAACTCTGAATTCATTCTTTATCTGCTATCTGCTATTTCTTTTCACTTTGTCTCTAGGAGTCCCATTTCCTTTTTCCTTCCGATATTCCCACCCCCTTTCTGAAATCCCATTAGTCTGCAATCCAATGGTTCTTCACAACCTTCTCTGACCATTTCTTCCTGGCCCCGCATCAGCAAATTCGATAATACCTAACCACTGCTTCGGCTAAATAAAAAAAACGGAGAGCGTGTTTACTCGTGTGGCCGAAACCATGACCTTAAGTTGCACAGCCGACTCCCTTCCATTTCTTTCCATAGTCACCCTTCCTCCAGCAAATGAGCCTCGGGTCTACTTTTAAATCTGCCACCCCCCGGCCGCTTCTTCTACCTTCCGCCTTATTGCTATTGCCCTGTCCACTGAACCCAAATTCCTCTTCTCAGGACTTCCATTACCCGAAAGAACAGCCCTCTTTTTCAGGGCTTTAAAACACCAGGATCCGCTTTCTTCCTCCTCATCGGAGATGCGGCAGTCCGTGCTTCCCCAGCCGGACTCGGCCCACAGCACCCGCAGCCATTCTCGCGCAGCAGCACCACTTCCGGATCTCGGGTGTCTCCACTTTACGGGTCCGCCCACCTCCCGAGGGCGCTTCTTAGAGCATTTTCCAGACCACTGGCGGGGTCGGAGTGGAGACGCAGGCTAGCCGAGCGCAAGAGGTCTTTTCCTAGAAGACGGACTGAATGGCTTCTCCAGCCTGACAAGTCGGGTCATGCTGTGGAGTCGAGTTCTGGCGGTGGAGGGACAGTTTGTTTTGAGCACCGAGTGGGGCACACCCGGAAGTGGAGCCATACAGGAGCTGCGCCGCCGCCGGAGGCGGGTGCCAGGTACCCGGAGGTGGAGAGGACGCCACGGTACGTTTTGGCGTGAGTGTCATGCGAGGTTGCAGCAGGGCGGGAGCTGGCTTCCTTCTGGCTCTGGTTCTATGGTGGTAGATCCCGCTGGGTTCTGGGAGGCGAGGGCCTCGAGGCTGCTGAAGGGGTGAGGCGGCCGATGAGGAGCCGGTCTCACTTCATTCTCCTCCTTCAGGGGGACTAGCTGTCTTCAGGTTAGCACCTCTCCTCCCACTCCTCGCCAGTTGAGTTGAGGGGAGTTGTATTGGTGAAGTCACAGCTGGAGCAGAGAGTCCACTTGAGTTTTCTCTGCTTCTGGGAGGAGGCGAGCGGCCGCTTTAGTGGGGACTTGCTTTTCGGCCTCTTCCACTCCTCCTGAGAAGTGCTTTTTCCTTCGTTGTACCACCGACTCAATTACTTATAATATTTCTGTCTTTACTCCCTTCAGCTTCAGACTTTGACTCCTCTGAACCTTAAAGGATGCTGGAGTCATACGTGACTCCAATTTTAATGAGCTATGTGAATCGCTACATCAAGAACTTAAAGCCTTCAGATCTACAGCTTTCACTATGGGGTGGAGATGTGGTTCTCAGCAAGCTGGAGTTAAAGTTGGATGTGCTGGAACAGGTAAACCGGAGCTGTCGTTGACTGGGAATATTTTCAGTTTGTTTATGAGTAATACATTGTTTCCTACACTTTGAATTTATGCTTTAAAAACTTAATTTTTATGCTAATGTATTTTGAGCTACCCTGAAACTAGAGACTTTCCTTTACAGAATATTTTTTTTGTGGTTTATGAACTAGTGATAGTTTGTTACAATCCGTTTATTAACTAGTGATAGTTTGTTACGATCGGATTCCCGAAAGTTGCCTCAGCAGATAGGAAAACAGTCTCATTGTTCTTGTTAGAATTGCCCCAGCATATTTACTCAACCCTCAAGCCTTAGACCAAATATGCTAATTTACATTGCTAAGATTCTGTATGATACTAGAAAATAATACATTCCTGTTCTCCGTTTTGGGGAATGGAAAAGTCCAAAAGATCTTGAGAAAAGTCTATCTCTTAATAGGAAAGATGACATTACCCATGGTGTCCTCAGTGTATTAAATAGACACAGATTGAGAATGCCAGCAAAATTGAAAACGTCTTTCTTAATCACTTTTTAGTTTTCTTTTAACCTGATAATGTTCTGATGCAAATAAACTGTAACTTCAAAGTTCATATACTTATTACTTCATTTAGTATATTATTAGTAACATATGCCAAGCAACTCTGTTAGTCTTGAGGATACAAAAATCATCTGTGGAAACTCAGAAGAGTCAGAGACCAACAGCTTTTTAGGAGATAAGGAAAGACTTAATCTGAGGGTGATAGTAATCAATAACTTTTAGTTATATTCCACTGCTTCCTCTACTATTGAATAATCTAGAATTAACACTAAGAAATAATACTCCTGGCTCCTTCCCCTTTCTCTTTCCAAGGTTAATTATCTATCTATCTATCTATCTATCTATCTATCTATCTATCTATCTATCTATCTATCATCTATCTATATAGCTCAGTTTTTACATAATGTATATACCTGTGACCACCATTCCAGATCAAGAAATAGACTATTTTCTACACCTGAAATGACTTGCCTGCGCCCCTTTGTAACCCCACCCCTAAAACAGGTGACTGCTGTTTTATCAATAGACGTAAGTATTACCTGTTCTTGAAACTTAAATTAATTGGAATTACTTGTGTCTGGCTTCTTTTATTCAACATTATGGCTAAGATTAACCCATGTTGTTGCATGAGTGGTAGTTTGTTCTCTGTATTGCCTTATAGTAAGTATCCTTTGTATAAAGAGCCACAGTTTACTAATTTATTTTCCTATTGATGTTCATTTGGATTGTTTCTGCTTTTGTCTGTTAGGAAGAAAGCTCTTATGAACATTCTTGTCTGATTTTGGTGGATATAGGTATTAATTTCCATTAGGTGTATACCTAGTAAGTAGTCATGTTTAGCTTTAATGGATATTGCCAAATAGTTTTCTGGAGTGGTTGTACCGATATTCATTCTCACCAACAATGTATGAAGGTTTCAGTTACTTCACATTTTGTTATTATTTGGTATGTTTGCTATTTTAATTTTAGCCTTTCCGGTGGGTGTGTAGTGGAATCTTATAATTTAAAATTTCATTTTCCTAATGATTAATGATGTTAAGCGCATTCATGTGCTGTTCATTGGCTATTTGGATATCCTCTTTTGTAAAGTTTCTAATTCTTTTGACTTGGTAAAAAAATTGTGTCTTCTGTCTTTTTTTTATTGATTTGTAGGAGTTCTTTATATATTTTGGAAATAAGTTCTTTGCCAGATACATGTTTTTGCAGTATCTTCTCCTGGTTTATGGCTTGTTTTTTGCTCTGTTAAAAGTGCCTTTTGATGAATAGAGTTCATATTATTGAAGTTCAGTTTATCAGTTTTTTTTTCCCTTTAAAGTTAGTACTTTTCATGTCTTGGTTAAGAAATTGTTGCTTTCTTCAAGCTCATGAAGTTATTCTCCTGTGTTTTCTTTTAGCTTTATTGATTCATTTAAAATTAGTTTTCTGCAATTGAGAAGTAGAGATTAAGATTCATTTTTTTCCATTGATAATTAATCCACATCATTTGTTGAACCATTCTTTCCCTACTGAATAATAGTAAGTCTTTGTTGTAAATCAGGTTGTCATATGTGTGGATTTATTTCTGAATTCTTTATCTGTTCAGCTATCTATTTGTGTATTCTTGTATCACTACCATGTTGTATTTTACAGCAAGTCTTGATATCTCATGGTGTAATTTCTACAACTTTGTTCTTTTCTCCTTCAAGATTGTCATAACTATTATAGGTCCTTTGCATTTCCATATATACTTTACTTTTAGCTTTTACGTTTTAGAATTTCCTTCAAACATGGAAACCCATTGATCTTTTTAATTGAGGTTACATTGAATCGATAGATTAATTTTGGAGGAAATAACATATTAACATATATTGTGTTGTCATAGTATTGAGTTTTTAACTTGTACAAGGCATTACTTTCTGTATTTTAAGGTCTTTAATTTCAGCAATTATTTGAAACTTTTCAGAGAGGTTTCGTACATATTTCATTAAGTTTTATTTCTATTGATGTTGTAAGCAGCATTTTGTTTTTTAATTTTGTGTTTTAAGTATTTGTTATGAGTATTTAGAAATACAGTTGATTTTAGTGTATTGATCTTCTACCCAGTGGTCTTTCTAACTTGTTGAATACGTTTTGGTGGATTCTTTTGGATTGTTTTTGTACACAATCATGTTATCTGCAAATAATGACAGTTTTTCATCTCTCTTTCCAGTGTTTGGACCTTTAAATTATTTTCTTTCATTATTGCACTGTGCAGTAGAGATCTTGAGAAAATTCTTTTTTTGTTCCCAACTTCAGTGGGAAAGTGTTTAATATTTTACCGTTATGTATGTTGTTAGCTGTAAATACTCTTTGTTGGGTTAAGGAGATGCTATTTTAGTCCTAGTTTTCCTATAATTTTTTAGAAGCATGAATGGATGTTGAATTTTATCAACTATTGCATTTAATGGATTGATATCTGATTTTTCTTTTATTTTGTTAATGTGAATTATATTAGTTGAATACACAGATGGAGTTTGCATTCCTGGAATAAACCCCACTTACAATGTACTATCTTCTTTTTTATGTGATTGGATTTGTTAAATTTTTAGTTTTATTACATCTATCTTTTTTTTTAAAGATTTTTATTGGGGAACTGGGGGAGGGGAACAGCGCTGGGGAATTGAGGGAAGGGGAACAGACAAGTTGCTGTCCTTTTGTTCTTCAGTCTAGTTGTGGAGGACGTTGCTTCACTGGCCCATGTTGGTATTATCATTGCACTCTTCCCAGGCGAGGCAGTTGCTTGCCGGCCTCTGGACGGCTGCTCACGGCGGCTCTTGTCAGCTCATACCGGCTGCTGGCTGCTCACGCTGGCTTCCGGCCACACACGGTAGCCCATGGCAGCCCACTGCAGCAGGGGCTGCAGCCTACGCCGTCACTGGCGACTCACGGCAGCCCAGCTCTAGGTTGAGCTGTTGTTGTTCATCTTAGCTGTAGAGGGCGCAGCGTCACTGGCCCTCATGTGGGATCCGAACCGGGGCCCTGCTGTACAGAGCTGGCGTCCTAAGCCAACTCTTAATCAACGTGCCACTTGGCTGACCCTGCATCTATGTTTATAAGTGACACTGGCCTGTGATTTTCTTCTCTTGTGAAATCCTTATCAGGCTTTGATTACCCTAAGTATATTGCCTTCATTAAATTATTTGTGGAGTATTTCCTCTTTTTTTTAAAGGAAGAGCTTAGTATTCCATTGTATATATGTACCACATCTCCTTTATCCAATTTTCTATTGAAGGACACTTGGGTTGTTTCCATGTCTTGGCCACTGTGAATAATGCTGCAATGAACATAGGGGTACATATATCTTTATGAATAAATGTTTTCAAATTTTTTTGAGTAGATAGCCATAATAAAAGATGAAGTACTGCCATTTGTGACAACATGGATGGATCTTGAGAATATCATGCTGAATGAAATAAGGCAGATGGAAAAAGTCAAGAACCATATGATTTCACTCATATGTGGGATGTAAAACTGAAAGCTAAAATGAACTAAAAAGACAAAAACTCATAGACACAGACAACAGTATAGTGATTACCAGAGGGAAAGGAGGGTGGAGGGAGATAGAAGAGGGTAAAGTGGGTCAAATATATGGTGATGGAAGGAGACTTGACTTTAGGTGGTAAACACACAATGCAGTATACAGATGATGTATTAAAGAATTGTATACTTGAAACCTATATAATTTTATAAACTGATGTCACTTCAATAAATTTAATAAAATTTAAAAAAGAAAGGAAGAATTTGTATAAGATTGGTATTACTAGTTTTTTCTTTTTTTTATTTGGTAAAATATATGTAATAACATTTATTGTTTTAACCATTTTTGATTGTATAGTCTGTGGCATTGATTATATTTATATTTTGCAACCATCACCATCATCCATCTCCAGAACCTTTTCAATTTCCCAACCTGAACCTTTATACACATTAAGTACTAACTCCCCATTCTCTTCTCCCAGCTCCTGGCAAATACCATTTTACTTTGTCTCTGAATTTGAATCCTGTACATACCTCATATAAGTGGAAACATACAATATTTATCTTTTTGCGACTGGATTATTTTAGCACAGTGTCTTTGAGGGTCATGCATATTGTAACATGTGCCAGAATGTCTTTACTTTTTAAGAGTGAATAATAATAGTGCATTGTGTGTGTATACCACATTTTGTTTATCCATTCATCTGTCGATGCTCATTTGGGTTGCTTTTACCTTTTAGCTATTGTGAATAATACTGCTGTGAACACGGGTGTACAAATACCTTTTCAAGCCCCTGATTTCAGTTTTTTTGGGTATATACCCATAAGTAGAATTGCTAGATCTTATGGTAATGGTATGCTTAATTTTAGAGGAATTGCTTTACCGTTTACCACATTGGCTGCACTATTTTACATTCTTACCAGTGATGTACAAGGGTTCCGATTGCACCATGTCTTCACCA